GTGCAGTCCTTGTCCCACTTCCAGATTGTCTCTTTTCTTAGCAATCTGCGAAGGGGCGCAGCGATGGTGGAGAAGTTCCTCACGAACTTCCTGTAGTAATTTGCTAAGCCCAGGAACGAGCGCAACTCTGTCAGCGTACGTGGCGTGGGCCAATCTCTAATCGYTGCGATCTTRCTATCCTCTGGCTTAACGCCATCTCCGTCTAAGACGTGGCCTAAATACAAAACTTGGGTCTTCGCCCAATCGCACTTCTTTGCATTGATCTTGAAGTTAGATTCCCTCAGCTTTTCCAAGACCTGCCTGAGATGACCCTGATGCTCGTCGAGGGTCTTACTAWACACTAGAATGTCATYTAGGTACACTATAACAAATSTATCTAACCACGGCCTGAACAAATCGTTCATACAGCGCTGGAACGTAGCTGGCGCATTGGTTAGTCCAAACGGCATCACTATGAACTCGTAGTGCCSATATCTAGTCCGGAAGGCTGTCTTATACTGATCATCAGGATGCACCTCTATTTGATGATATCCGGACTTCAAATCTATCTTAGAAAAATACTTCGCCCCCTGGACTCGATCTAAGAGATCGTCTATCCTAGGCAGTGGCTCAGCATTCTTTACTGTAATAGCATTCAGACCCCTATAGTCTATACACATCCTCAGCTCTCCCTCTTTCTTAGGGACAAAGAGAACAGGGGCTCCAAAAGGAGACGAACTGGGCCTAATCCAACCCTTTTCKWGAAGCTCGTCCAACTGCTTCCGTAATTCTTCCAACTCCCGCGGGGACATCCTATATACAGCACCCTTAGGAGTTCTACTGCCAGGCTCTATCTCAATACGGTGCTGGATGGRCCRCGGCACCGTGCCTGTCGGCGGCTTAGTTAAATCCTTAAACTCTTCCAGCAATTTGGCAATAGTAGGGTCTACGGGCTTCTCTTCCTTAGACTCAGTCACTGGCCTAATATAGGCAACAAAGACCTGTTCCTCCAATGCCTCCTTCTTCACCAGTCTGGCGAACGCGGGGGCACTAAGACAGTCGTGCGCCAAGGAATTCTCTACCCCTGACGCATGAAACAGGCGGGTAGTCTTGGCCTCGCCTGACGAACTAGGGAGCCTACACTCGTGTTCCTTCAAATGGAGCGTGGCCCCTGCTGCCTCACCCCAATCCATTCCCAGAACAATGTCGAATGGGAGGCTGTCTTCTACGAGGAGATTTAGGGAGTGGAGGACCTTTTTCACTTTCCCATCCTTCTCTAGGCGAAAATACGCCTGGACTCCCTCAACGTAATCCTCTACAACCATGGTACGATTGTCTGCGAGGATACTAACTATAGGGTCTGCTAGCTTTTGGACTTTAAGTCCCAGCTTCAACTTCTGCAGCGCCTTCCTACTAATATAGCTGCGGGTGGCCCTTGAGTCTACTAGGGCCCCTACTCTACTTCTAAAAATCTCTGTATCTAGCAATATAAGYTGCCCTTTATTCTCCTTCTTCATCTTGGCCCAGGCGGGCATCCTCTCTTTCAACTCTTTGGCCACGCCTGTGAGGGAGGTGTCTAGAGAGATCCTAACACAAGCGGTCTTTGGGCAGCTATCTAGACACCGGCCTGCAACCTCTGCCATAGGCACATGTGGTGTGGGAGTCTCCTGCCGGCTAGCGCTATGTTCCCCACATGGCCTAATGGTAGGGGCAGTTGCTACCCTTACCGGGGCTGCCTTTTGGCCCTGGGGCAGCCATTTGGGTCTCTCTATGCTTAGGACAATATTTGATGATATGGCCCGGGTCACCGCAGAAAATGCACTGGCCCCGGTCCAATCGTTGTTGCCATAAAGCCTGGTCCAGACTCAAAGATTCCCAAGGCCTACCCTGAGGTAGCCCTGGGTGCCATCCTCCTATTCTATAGGGAGCCTTCCTCCAAGGACGGTTTTGCGGGGGACCTTGACCCCTGCCTCCCGCTTGGCGGTTTCCTCCTCTACCGCCAACCCCC